GGGTCTTTTGTGGTTCCATATAAGTTTTTGGAATATTTGTTCCAGTTCTGTGAAATAATGCCACAGAATTATTTGGATCTGGATAGGAATCACATTGAATCTTAGATTGCTTTGGGTAATATGGACATTTTAATGATGTTAATTCTTCTTATCCATGAACATGGTATATGCTTCCACTTGTATCTTCCTCAGCTTCTTTCTTCAGTATCTTATAATTTTCTGAGTAGTGGTCTTTTACCTCCATGGTTAAATTTATTCTTAGTTACCTAATTTTTTTCATTGTTGTTGCAACTGTACATGGGATTGTTTTCTTAGTTTATTGTTCTTCATAGTTCATTATTGGTGTATAGAAGTGCCACTGATTTCTAGTTACTAATTTTCTATCCTGCTACTTTACTGAATTCATTTACCAATTCTAGTAGTTTTTTTGGTGGAGTCTCTAGGGTTCTCCATATAGTATTCTATCATCTGCAATAGTGACAGTTTTACTTCCTTTACAGTTTGGATGATTTTTATTTCTTCTTGTCTGGTGGCTGTGGCTAAGACTTCTGCTACTGTGTTGAATTAGAGTGGTGAAAGTCCTGATCTTACAGGAAACACTTTTAGTTTGCCTCATTGATTATGATGTTAGCTGTGAGTTTGTATGGATGTGGTAGTATGAATGACTTCTATGTTGAGATATGTTTCCTCTATTCCCATTTTGCTTAGAGTCATCATAAGTGAGTGCTGAATTTTATTAAATGCTTTTTTTCATATATTGATATGATCATATGATTTTTATCCTTCATTTTGTTTATATAGTATATCACTTTAATTGATTTAAGGATATCATACCACCTTTTCATCCTAGGAATAAATCCCACTTGATCATAGTGTGTGATCTTTTTAATGTATTGGTGAATTCCATTTGCTAATTTCTTTGTTGGGGATATTTGCATCTGTGTTCATCAAGAATGTTAGCCTATAACTTTCTTTCTCTGCATTTCTTTATCTGGTTTTGAAACTAGGATAATGCTGGCCTCATAAAATGAGCTTGAGAGTTTTCCCTATTCTTGAAATTTTTTTTTTATAGTTTGTGAAGGATAGGTGGTGTTCTTTGGATGTTTGGTAAGGTTCACTTGTGGAGCCACCTGGTCCAATGGTTTTATTTGTTGGAAGTTTCTTGATTTGTGCCTCGATTTTATTGCTTGTAATTCATCTGTTAAGATTTTCTGTTCTTGATTCAGTTTTGGAGGATTGTATGATTCTAGGAATTTATCCATTACTTCCAGATTATGCAACTATACGTGGGCATATAGTTGTTTGTAATGTCTTCTGATAGTCCTGCATATTTCTATGGTGTCAGTTGTCACTTATCTTTCATTTCCAATTTTATTTATTTGGATCTCTTTTTCTTGGTGAGTTTGAGTAAAGGTTTATCAGTCTTGTTTATCTTTTCAAAAACTGGCTCTTGGTTTCACTGACCTTTTATACTATTTTATTAGGCTCTTTTATTTCCACTCTGATCTTTATTTTTCCCTTCTTCTACTCTCTTTAATTCCTTCAGGTGTACGGTTAGATTGTTTGAGATTTTTTCATGTTTCTTGAGGTATGCTTATATTGCTATAAATTTTGCTCTTAGGGTTAGTTTCACTGTGTCCCATAGATTTGGGGTGGTGTATTCATTTTCTTTTGTCTCAAGGTCTCTTGATTTCTTTCTTGATCTCATTGTCAACCTATTCATTGTTTAGTTACATGTTATTTAGTCTCCACTTGTTTGTGTTTTTTGTTTTTTCCCTTGTAATTGATTTCTACTTTCATATCATTGCATTTAGGGAAGATATTTGGTATGATTTCAATCCTTAAGAATTTACTGATACTCGTTTTGTGTCCTAAGGTGGTTTATCCTGGAGTATATTCCATGTGCATTTGAAATCATGTTTATTCTGCTGATTTTTGGTGAAATGCTCTGAAAATATCAAATCTATCCGGTCTAGTGTGCCACTTAAGACCACTGTTTCCTTGATACTTAGTGTCTGGAGGATGTATCCATTAACGTCCATGCGGTATTAAAATCCCCTATTAAAAGAAAAGTCCCCAACTGTATTACTGTTGAACTCTTCTATGTTGGGTGTATAAATGCAAGGGTTATATTCTCTTGTTGGATTGATTCCTTTATCATTATGTAATGTCCTTTGGACTCTTACGGCCTATTGGCCATTAGGCCTATGACTTTATTTTCATTTTTTAAAAAGATATTTATTCATTTTTAGAGAGAATGGAAGAGAGAAAGAAAGAGGTAGAGAGACATCAGTGTATGAGAGAAACATCAATGGTTTACCTCTCAGCCCCCAATTAAGGCACATGCTCTGACCGGGAATTGAACCAGTGACCATTTGGTTCTCATGCCAGCACTCATTCTGCTGAGCCATATCAGCCAGGGCTATTCATTTTTATGTGCATGAAATATCCTTTTTTATCCCTTTACTTTCAGTCTTTGTGTGTCTTTTATTTTGAGGTGGGTCTCTCGTAGACATCGTATGCTATATAGGCCTTGCTTTCTTATCTATTCAGCTACCATATGTCTTTTGATTGGACTATTTAATAATTTGCATTTTTAAGTGATTATTGATAAGAACATGTCTCTATTGCTATTTTATTCTTTGTATTACACTTTTTTCTCCCTTTTCTTAAGTTTCTTTAACATTTCTAATACAGGTTTGGTGGTGATGAACTCCTTTAGCTTTTTGTCTGGGAAGCTCTTTATTTCTCCTTCATTTTTAAATAGTAGTCTTGTTGGGTGGAGTAGTCTTGGTTGCAGGTCCTTGCTTTTCATTACTTTGAATATCTCATGCAAATTCCTTCTGGAATGAAATGTTTCTATTCAGAAATCAACTGATAGTCCTATGGGAGCTCCCTTGTAGGTAACTAACTTTCACTTGCTTTTAAGTTTCTCTCTACTTTTAACCTTTGCTATTTTAATTATGATGTGTCTTGGTGTGAGTCTCTTCGGGTTTGTCTTGTTTGGGGCTTTCTGCACTTCATGGACTTGTATGGCTTTTTCTTTAAATTAGTGAAGTTTTCAGCCATTATTTCTTCAAATAGGTTTTCAGTCTTTTGCTCTTTTTCCTGGTAATGATATGGATTTTGTCCTAGAGGTCCTTTAGGCAAGCCTTATTTCTAAAAATTTTTTTTTTCCTTTTTGCTGCCGTGATTGGGTGTTCCACTACCTTGTCTTTCAGATTGCTGATTCAGTCCTTTGCTTCATCTAATCTGTAGTTGATTTCTTCATTTCAGATACTGTGTTCTTCGTTTCTGACTGGTTCTTTTTTATGGTTTCTTTTTTTATGTCCCTTTTTTATGCTTACTGTTGCTTTGTTGACATTCTCTGAGTTCATCCATTCTTTTCCTAAGTTTCTTAAGGATCCTTACAAACATCATTTTGAACTCTGAATCTGGTAGATTGCTTGCTTCAATTTAATTTAGTTTTTTTCTCCCCATTTTTGCTGCCTCTCTGTATTTGTTTCTATATATTTCTATATATCAGGTAGATCTGTTATGTCTCCCAGTCTTGGTGTAGTGGCCTTATATAGTAGGTGTCCTATGGAGCTCATTAGTCCTGTCTCTCTGATCACCCAAGCTAGGTGCTCCAGGAATGTCCCTTGTGTGGGCTACATGAGCCTTACTTTTGTAGAGTCTTGATTGCTGTTGGCCTACCTTTATGTCGGGGTTGTTCCTCAGGGTGCTGACAGTGATCATTGATCCCAACCACAGTATACAAGCTGCTGTGCTGGGTCTGACCCCATGAAGCGGAATTTGCCCCAGAAGGGTAAGTTTCTTGCCAAGATCTATCTTCCTTTGGGTGTGCTACTTGTGGAGTTAATTGCGTCTTGTTCTAATGTGGTTGAAGCCCACCACTGAGTGTTTTGGTTCTGGGGCCTTTAGGGTGAGATTTTAGTGCGGATCAGTATCAGATAGTGGCTGTGAGTTATCCTAGGCTACCTGTTTAGAGCTAAAGTAATCCAGTTTGTGGCTGTCTCTGCTGGGCCTAGGTGCACACTGGAGAGCCAGGCTGCACAACAAGGTCAGCCTCTATCAGCACGGAGCCCTTGGGGCAGGTCAGCAAAAGGTTTAAGGCACCCAGAGCTATAGCTCTGCCTACCTACTGCCTGACTGTTAGGCTCAGTCACTGAAAGAGCCTTTGGCAAGATTTTCTTTTATTGCGGCTGAATAATATTTCATTGTGTGTATTTCCATATATATATAAATGTCTTTTACTTTTTTTTAGGTACCACATTTAAGTGAGATCATACAGTATTTGTCTTTGCTATTATCCTACAATTTTGTAAAATGTTACAAGTGGAGGAAACTGAGTAAACTGCACACTGTATCTCTGCATTGTTTCCTATAGCTCTGTCTGACTTGAAAATTGTCTTGAATAAAAATTTCAGTTAAAAATTGGAAAAGGGAGGAATCTATTCAGAGTAGAGAATATAGATCTTTCACTGCCTGCTTAACTACCAACTTAGATATTATAATTTTCAGAAAAACATATACCTTTCAGTTAGTCTCTGTTCTGAGCAGGTTTAACTGACATGTTTATAATTCATTTTGTATACTATTTACACTAAGTACTTTGTTTCTGCTGCCTTAACCTTACTGTGTCATTTCACACCAAATATTATAATTCAAATGTTTTAAGTCCTTAAAATGAATGCTTTATCAAAAGAATGTCTGTTAAATAATAGGGATCTACTGTGTACATAAAACTGTTACATACAATATATCACTTACTGGTATTTTTTTGTGTCTACACTCTCAGTAAAGGCTGTTGTTCATGATCAGAAAATACCATATGTAAAACTTAATGTGCATTTTACTCAAAATATAAATCTATCACATATTGTTAAAATATCCCCATTTCTTCCTTGATGATTTATTTTTGGTAATTTTTTTATGGATTTGAATGTGATTTTTTTTAAACCACCATTTTAATCAAAATTCATGTTTTTGTTTTCCAGGTTTGGATCACTTTGTCTTTGATTTTTCTCTGTTTAAAGGTAATTTGTTTGTAGAATTTACTAGTCATGCAGACTTAATACAATTTTTTGTTTGGGGTGACTATATTTGGTTGTTAAAATAGGAATTATACCACATAATAGGTAAGCCTTTTATGTCTTTTTTATTTGCCTCATAAAATGTATATGACTTATGCTATGGAAGTAAATGTCAAAATAAATTCAAACTACATTTCTAGTTTATGCTTCACAGAATATATTTTCCAGGCATTTGTGAAAAATCTTTGTCTTTTTGCCTGAAAGTGTATTTTACTCATAGGTTGAAATATTGGAGCCATGGGAATAAAAGTTCAGCGTCCACGATGTTTTTTTGACATCGCCATTAATAATCAACCAGGTGAGAAGATTAATTTTTTTCATTGAACATTTATAGATATTTTAAAATAGTAAGAAAGTTTAAATCAACTACCTCTTTTTTTTCTTAAAGCTGGAAGAGTTGTATTTGAATTATTTTCTGATGTGTGCCCCAAAACATGCGAGAACTTTCGTTGTCTTTGTACAGGTTTGTTGACATTTTCAATTGCCCTAATAGTAGTCCCATTTTTATTTAGACATACAAAGAGAAGTTCTGCACGTACCTTTTTTCTCTTAACATGCAGGGTATGCAACATTGACTAGGATATCTAAGTAATTCTTAGAAATATTAGTCGTATTGGGATTTTATTTGGCATTGATTTCTACACTTTACAGGAAAACATGTGATTTTTTAAAGAAATTTAAAAAAAAATTCCTGAGGAGCCCTTGCTGGTATAGCTCAGTGAATTGAGTGCAGGCTGCGAACCCAAGAGTTGCCTATTTGATTCCCAGTCAGGGCACATGCCTAGGTTGCAGGCCAGGTCCCCAGTGGGGGCCATGTGAGAGGCAGCCACACATTGCTGTTTCTTTCCCTCTCTCCCTCCCTTACTCTCTCTAAAAATAAATAAATAAATAAATAAAATTGTTTTTAAAAATTCCCAAGGAAAGTGAAATTTCTATAGTTTTAAAAAGTATGTATGGTTTAAGAGAGGTATATTTTAGAGGGTGAAAGTTTTCATTATTAATTACGCTTTAATATACTTCTGTGGTTTTCTTCTAAATGTCCTACTAATTTTCCTTATTTATAGGTGAAAAGGGGACAGGCAAATCAACTCAGAAGCCATTACACTATAAGAGTTGTCTCTTTCACAGAGTTGTTAAAGATTTTATGGTTCAGGGTGGTGACTTCAGTGAAGGTAAGACTTTGGTTCCCAAAAAAGAAAACTCTCTATTCTTTGTTAAGTATAGATCTCAAAGTTAGACAAGTTTTAAAGGTACTATTCAGTTTTCTTCTCATCCCACTTAGTTTTTGCTCTGACAATTAGAAGTACTCATAGAAATAGATAAAAAAAGGAAGCACAGGAAAGAATTTCACCTTTGATTCATGAATTAATTTCAGAAATTTGCTTCCATATAAAAAAATAAAATACTGCATTTATCTTTTAGGAACCTATCAGTGCATGTGTTTTTGTCACAACTAGTAATCCTTAACTGCAATATAGTTTTTACTATACTTTTTTATTATAAAAACATTGAAATTCTATTTTAAAGACACTTTGAAAAATGTGATTTGTGTTAAAAAAGCTGAATAATCATCATCATTAGAATCTGTTAGTTTTTCACATATCTTAGTAGACTTGGTCATATTCTTACTATTCTGTCATAAGGAAAATATATAATTTGAGATCTTGTCAGTATTGACTTTATGATTTGCTGTGAACCTTTGAGTATTATTGATTCAAAGTAACCAGCGCACTAACTTTCTAAGAAACATTTTGTTTAGGTAGCACCTCCAAGGAGATTACTGTCTTGAGAGTTCTGAGAGTCTATGTTTTTCATTTCTAGGAAATGGACGAGGAGGGGAATCTATTTATGGAGGATTTTTTGAAGGTAAAAGTTTTTCTTTTATTTTAAATTGTGGGGTTTGTTTCTTTGTTTTTGCCATTTAATTATTATTTGTTTTTTAATTACAGTTGAAATACAATATTATATGAGTTTCAGGTGTATACCCCAGTGATAGTTAGAAGAGTATAATTGACTATGTTCCCTATCGTGTACTTCACATCCCCATGGCAGTTCTGTAGCAACCAATTTGTACTTCTTAATCCCTTTACCTTTTTCACCCATCCCCGCAACCCTACTCCTATCTGGCAACCCTCAAAATGTCTCTATATTGTAGGGCAATCTTCAGCACCTCTTGTAAAGCAATATTAACATCCATTGCACCTCCCAACAGCAGTGCATTCTGTAGCCGTGGAAATGGGTTACGGGTAGAGCTGAATCTTTAATGCACTCAAGACTCTGCCCCCACTCAACTCTGGGGTAGCAGGGAAGGAGCTCAGTAGTATCTTCTTTATCCATTTGTCTATCAATGAACACTTAGGTTGCTTCCATATTTTGGTTATTGTAAATAATGCTGCAGTCAACATTGGGGTGCATATATGGACCTCTATGTTGAATTAGTGTTTTTGTTTTCTTAGGATATATATACCAGAAATGGAATTACTGTATTTTATGGTAGTTCTATTTTTTGAGGAACCTCCATATTTTTTCATAGTGGTTGTACCAATTTACATTCCCACCAACAGTACACAAGAGTTCCCTTTACTGTACTTATCATCCTTGCCAATTGTTACTTTTTTGTTTTGTTGTGTTTTTGATACTAACCATTCAGACACATGTGATGTGATATCTCATTGTAGTTTTGTTTTATATTTCCCTGATGATTAGTGATGTTGAGCATCTTTTCATGTGTCTGTTGGCCATCTGTATGTCTTAGAATAATGTCAGTTTAGGTCCTCTGCCCTTTTGGTACTCGATTGTTTGGAGGGGGGGTTGTGTGTGTGTATGTATGCACTAAGTTATATGAGTTCTTCACATATATTGGATATTGACTGTCAAATAATTGATTTGCAGATATTTTTCACTGAATGGTAGGCTGCTTTTTTGTTCTGTTTCCTTTTTTAATGCAAAACTTTTTACTTTGACATAATTTTATTTATTTTTGCTTTTATTACCCTTGATTGAGGACACATCCAAAAAAAATACTGCTATGACCAATGGCACAGAATTTACAACCTGTGTTTTTCTTTGGGGAGTTTTGTGGTTTCTGGTCTTAAATTTAAGTCATTAATTCATTGAGTTCATTTTTCTATATTGTTTAAGTGATATAGTTTCCTTTTTTGCTTTATTTGTTTAGTTTTTCCATCACCATTTATTGAAGACTCATCTTTCTCATTGTGTATTTCTGTCTCTTTGTCTATAATAAACTCAGAATTATAATGTTAGGACAGGAACTCCCATAGGTTGATCTTAATCCTTTTTTAATTTGTTTTTTTTTTAAGCAATTTAAACATTTTTAAAGTGAAATGTAGTTGACATACCATATTATATTAATTTCAAGTGTACAACATAGTGTTTTGACATTTAAAAATCTTTAGAAATGTCCTGCGAACCAGAGTATTGTGGTTCGATTCCCAGTCAGGGCACATTCCTGATTTGCAGGCCAGTTCCCAGCAGGGGACACATGAGAGGCAACCATACATTGATATTTCTCTCCCTCTCTCCTTCCCTTCCCCTCTAAAGATAAGTAAATAAAATCTAAAAAAAAAAAAGCTTTATCTAAAAATCTTGAGAAATGATCACTACATTGAATCTAGTAACCATTTGTCACCATTCCAAGTTATTACAGTGTTATTGACTATATTCCTTATGCTGTACATTAATTGGCCATTTAAGCTTGGGTTTATTTCCAGACTCTTTTGTTCCACCTATCTATGTGTCTGTTTTGTGCCAGACCCATACTGTTTTAATTACTATAGCTTTGTTTGAAATTGGGGGGCATGATAATCCAGTTTTATTTTTCTTTCTCACTGTTACTTTGGCTGCTTGAGTCTTTTCTGATTCCATACAAATTTTAGGATTATTTGTTTTAGTTCTGTAAAAAAAAAAAAATCACCCTTGCTGGGGTGGCTCAGTGAATTGAGTGCTAGCCTGCAAATCAAAGGCTTCCATTCCCAGTCAGGGCACATGCCTGGATTGTAGGACAGGTCCTCAACAGGGGGAGCTCAAGAAACAGCCACACACTGATGTTTCTCTCCTCTTTCTCCCTTGCTCCGCACCCCCTTTAAATGAAATCTTTTTAAAAAATACTATTGGTATTTCCCATTGAATCTGTATATTGCTTTGGGCAGGAGACATTTTAACAATGTTAATTCTTCGGATACATGAGCACAGTATATTTTTCTACTTATTTGTTTCATGTTTGATTTCTTTCATAAGTGTTTTACAGTTTTCCAAGTACAGGCCTTTCACCTCCCTAGCTCAATTTATTCCAGTGTATTCTGTGCTTTTTGAAGCAATTGTAAAGGGGATTATTTTTAAAATGTTCTTTCTATTAAGTCATTATTAGTGTATAGGAACAGAGTAGATTTTAATGTACATGTTTTTTTATCTTCAGCTTTACTGAATATATTTATTAGTTCTAATAGTTTTGTTTGGTTTTGTTTTATGGTGGAGCCTTAGGCTTTTCTATATATAGTGTCATGTCATTTGCAAATTGTGTTTTACTTCTGTACCAATTTGGATGCCTTTTGTTTTCTTGCCTAATTGCTGCGGCCAGCACCTCCAATACTATGTTGAATAAAAGTGGCAATAGTGGGGCTCCTTGTCTTGTTCCTGATCTTAGAGGGAAAGCTTTCAGCTTTTTTACCATTGAGTATGATGTTAGCTATGGGTTTGTCACACATGGCTTTTATCGTATTGAGGTATGTTCCCTCTATACCCACTTTGTTGAGTTTTTATCATAAATGAATATTGAATAATCTTGACCTTTACTAAAGGAGATTGAACAGTATTTCTTAGTAACTACATTTTTAGTGGGTCCATTTTTATATGATGATTTTTTTAAACTTTGATATTCTAAAATTTAGCTATAGTTTTTCCCAAATTTTAAGTTTTCTCACTGGAATTTTTTACTGATATGAAGATCACTTGAAAGACTATAAACCTTTGGGATTCAGTGGATTTTGTTTCAGTTTGCACTTGCTTAGTTCTTATGCTAATCAAGAGGAGAATTCAAACTGCTCTCTGCAATAAGTGATGCTGTGGCAGAGATTAATTTAATGAGTACCTCTCTGTGCTTAGAATAATATGTGCCCTTTTGTGTCCAGAGATTAAATAAATGGTGCTCTCTTTGGTAGCACATGTACTAAAATTGGAATGGTACAGAGAACATTAGCATCACCCCTGTGCAAGGATGACATGCAAATTTGTGAAACACTCTGTAGTTTTAATTCTCCTTCAAAAAGTAAAGAAAAGAAAGAAATGAAATGAAATATAAAAGAATGCTACCTGAATTCTTTTTCTTGCTTTGTAGGGGAGTTTCACTTTTTGTTTAAAAAAAGCAAAAAAAAGTTGTATTCTTTTTTTCTTAAAAAAAAAAATGAAGGACAATTGTAAATGGAAAGAAAGGGGATTGATAGACTATTTCAATTTTATAGCAAGGGATTGAAAATTAGAAATATTTTAATCAGAAAAGTTGGGGAAAGGAATTGGTTAATATTTGATTCTTCTTTTAACCTCAGTTTTATCTAAATTTTGTTTGTCTCTTAACTAGAGTACATGATATGAACACAAGATATGAAGAGGAGTGAAAATAGTTGGGGGGGATAGTTTATGCCTGTTATGTAACTGAAAACTTTGCTTCTCTCTAGATGAGAGTTTTGCAGTCAAACACAACAAGGAATTTCTCTTGTCAATGGCCAACAGAGGAAAGGATACAAATGGTTCACAGTTTTTCATGTAAGTTTTTTATGATCAGACAGCTTAAAATATTCTTTTGGTGTGTCTTTCTCTATGTGCCTGCCTTTGATCCCTGATAAATAGAGGAGGGATCCATAAGGGAGAAAATTTTTAAAGAAAGGAGAACAAAAAATTGAAGAAGGGAATGTTGTTGAAAGGGGAGTTGAACTGTACTGCTAAAGTTTTCAATGATGAAAACTTGTCAGGGAGACACAGGGGCCAGCTTGAAGGGGTGGCATTCCCATTGGCCATATTGGAACAGTTTGACCATCAAATAATGGTAGTATCAGACTATCAAATAAAACAAATCTAGGATTCCATATAGATATAAAAAATGAATGAGTAATGGGAAAAGCAGAAGCTGTTTCATAGTAGAATGTCAATTCATAAATGTAAAAAGAATCCTATAGTAGGAAAATCACCATCTTTCTCACTAATTGATTCAGGAAAGAGTTATCTATAGGTGGTAAATTTAATAAGAGACAGGGTATTTCCAGTGTCTCTTCCTAATTAGTTAATTACAGAGAGTTAAAATACAACAGTCCTCATTATTTAAAGATTCTGTATTTGCGAATTTGTCTACTCACTAAAACGTATTTGTAACCCCAAAGTCAATACTGCTGTTTTCCAATTCTGACTATAAAAAATTTGTGATTAAGGCTCTTGTCAGCAATGCATATATTTTTTTATTGTGTCCTGTGGGTAGAGATTTGCTCCTCCTTTCAAGAGCCTTAAATTTCCCTGGTATTAGAAGAATTTAATCTGTCAGCATAGCATATTGTAGTGTATTCTATTTTATATTTCTGACTCTTCTTCAACAGTGAAAAACCTGGCTGCCATTATCTTCAGAATTACTACTCATTTGCTGAATTTCAAAACCAAAAATGCCATCCTGTATCATTGAAAAGTAACCTGTTAACTAGAGTTCACTATTAATTTATAGCTATTTTTGTCTTTAGACAGAGTATGTAGTTATAATACCATGATAATAGTTACTTGGATTATTATTTTTTGCTGTGAATTTTATGTGGTTTTGTGACTCAAAACATGTTAGATTCATTTCCTTCTTATTCTATTTCAGTTTACTCTTCCTTTCACCATGTTGTTTTCTTTTTTTACTTATTTTAAGTTTATAAAATATTAACATGATTCCAAAGGTCAAAACAAAAAGAATTCTCTTAAAGTATCACTCTCACCTAATTCTTCACTCCATTCCCATTTTCCCATTTTTTCACCCCATTTCTACCTATCAATACTAGTAACCAACCTCATTAGTTTCTGCTTTATCTTCCTATATTTCTTTTCACAAGCATAAGCACAGATGCATGTTTTTTTTTAATTTTTCACTTTTTTCTAACTCAGTATATAGCATATTATATATAATTTTGCTCTTTCTCTGAATCACATACCCTGGATATAATCACTCCATATCAGATCGTAGATTCCTATCTCTTTTTTTGCAGTTGCATAGTACTCTATTTGGTGTATGCAGTTTGGAGCAAGTTTACAGTTGTTCAGTTGTTCATATGGAAAATAAACAATAAAAGAGACTTCCAGCCAAGATGGAGGCATAGCTAGACACACTGTGCCTCCTTGCACAACCAAAATAAGGACAACAATTTAGGAACAAAATAACAACCAGAACTGACAGAAAATTGAACTGTATAGAAGTTGGATAATCAAGGAGATAAAATAGACACATCCATCCAGACCAGTAGGTGGGGTGGAGTCAGGCAACTGAGCAGAGGGGTCGTCACAAAAAGCAGTGGCACCAGGAACATAAGGCACCCTGGGCACGCAAGAGGGCAGCAGGCAGACCCAGCAAGGCAGTGATTGTGAAGCCACGTGCTGCATGCAAGGTGGCTGGCTGACCAGGTGGTGCCATTTTCACACGCAGATGAACCAGGCGAAATTGGGGAGCAAGGCAGACTGTGAAACCCAGGGTCCCAGCGCAGGGAAATAAAGCCTCAAAACACCAGTTGAAAACACCTGTGGGGGTTGAGGTGCAGGGAGAGACTCCCAGCCTCGCAGGAGAGTTCGCTGGAGAGATCCACAGGGTCCTAGAATGTATACAAGCCCACCCACACAGGAATCATCACCAGAGCAGCCCAGTGTGCTTGGGGGTAGCAGTGGAAGGGACTGAAATCCTACAGAGAGCATGAGCACCATTGTTCCTCTTGGACCCTACCCCCACATACAGCATCACAACCTAGCAACTGGGTTGTCCCACCCTGATGAACATCTAAGGCTCCACTCCTCACTATGTAATAGATGCAACAGGCAACCTATCAGATACACAGTTCAAAACACTGGTGATCAGGATGCTCACAGAATTGGTTGAATTTGGTCGCAAATTAGATGAAAAAATAATGAAGGCTACACTAAGTGAAATGAAGGGAAATGCACAGGGAACCAGTAGTGATAAAAAGAAAACTGGGACTCAAATCAATGGACTGGACCAGAAGTAAGGAAGAAAGAAACAACCAAACAAAAGAATGAAGAAACAAGAATTCAGAAAAATGAGGAGAGGCTTAGGAATCTCCAGGACATCTTTAAATGTTCCAACATCAGAATTATAGGGGTACCAGACAGGGAAGAGGAACAGCCACGAGTGGAAACCTTAGTTGAACAAATAATAAAGGAGAACTTCCCCAATCTGGCAAAGGAAATAGACCTCCAGGAAGTACAGGAAGCTCAGAAAGTCCCGAAGAAGTTGGACCCAAGAAGGAACATACCAAGGCACATCATCATTATATTAGCCAAGAAAAAAATGAAGGAGAGAAACCTAGAAGCAGCAAGAGCTAAAGGGACAGTCACCTACAAAGGAGTCCCCATCAGACTGTCAGCTGATTTCTCAAAAGAGACCTTACAGGCAAGAAGGGGCTGGAAAGAGGTATTCCAAGTCATGAAATCCAAAGACCTACAACCAAGATTGCTCTATCCAGCAAAACTTTCATTTAGAATGGAAGGACAGATAAGGTGCTTCTCAGATAAGATCAAATTCAAGGAGTTCATCATCACCAAGCCCTTATTATATGAAATGTTAAAGGGACTTATCTAAGAAAAAGAAGTTAAAGAAACATGAACAGTGAAAGGACAGCAAACTCACAGTTATTAACAGGCACACCTAAAACAAAAGCAAACTAAGTAAACAACCAGATCAGGAGCCACAGAAATGGAGATCACATGTAGGGTTAGCAATAGGAGAGTGGGAGGGGAGAGAGGGGTAAAGTACAGAGAATAAGTAGCATAGATGGTAGGTAGAAAATAGATGGGGGGCGGGGAATATTACGGGAAATGTAGAAGCTAAAGAACTTACAACACATGGACATGAACTGAAGGGGGGAATTTAGGTGGGAGAGGGTGTGCAGGGTGAAGGGGAATGAAGGGGAAAAGATGGGACAACTGTAATAGCATAATCAATAAAATTATTTAAAAAAAATAAAAGAATAAACTGTTAATTGTACCCACAACTGTAAACCCACTTTTGCCCCACCCTATACACTGTAGAATATGGGTCTTTAATTGTAAACAACTTTATTATGTTTGTTGTAGAAAAACTAGACAACACAAATAAAAGGAAGACAACAGTCCCATCCCCAGAGCACCTTTCTAATAACAGTGTATGTAGAGTGTTGCACATACTTTATAATTAACTTTTGGATATAATATAAATCGCTTTGCACATCAGTAAATATGAATTAACATTTTAATAAGTACGTGTTAATCTATTTAAATGTACTGTGCTTTATTTAATTAACCTATGTTTTGAACATTTGGTTTGATTTTTTTCAGATTGCTGCAGTGAACACTGTGCCTATTATTTGATATATTTTTATTATATAAATTGCTAGAGGTTTACTCACTTAAATATTTACACATTTTTAAGTGTTTCTGTGTTGATTTCTGCATTGACTTCCAAAAAAGAAATATATTTTACTTAGCAGTAAATGCCAGTTTTCCCAGATCTTTAACAACACTGAGGATTATCATTAATTTTTCTTTTTTATGTAAAATTCTTCCTGTGCTAACCACAATCCCTATGTTAATTTTATATAATCTTGCAAGTGAATTCTTCGAATCTTCCCTCTTCGTGTTGATTTCTCCTTACCTCTTTACATTTTTAGATAACTCTTGTATTTAGATAACTCTTTACTCCTCCTGTATTCTGTTGTTGTTTGGACAGAAACAACTTCAGTGTTTAGTTAAAATTATTTTAAATCTTGGTAACATATATAAAATTTTGCTATTTTAGTCAATGGTGAAGGTATGATTCAATGGTATTATATTTATAGTGCTGTAACTATAACTGTGCTTACAGTTAATTATAACTGTATATAATTACAACTATAACTATAACTGTCTTGGAAATAGTGGTGTTACTATCACCACTATTTCCAAAACTTTTATCATCATCCCGGAGACTAACCATTTCCCTTTGTCCTCAGCCTCTGTTTCTACCCTCTGTTTATGAATTTTCTTATCCTGGTTATATAAATGGAATCATACAATTACCTATCCATTTCACTTAGCATATTTTCAGGATGCATCTATATTGTAGCTTGTATCAAAACTTCATTGCTTTTTATGGCTGAATATCACTTCATTATGTGTACATACCACGTTTTGTTTATATTCATCTGTTGATGGGAATTGTATTGTTTGTACCTTTTGGTTATCATGAATTATGCTGCTTAGAATATTGGCGTGCATGTATTTGTTTGAGTCCCTGTTTTCAATTATTTTGGATATATACCTAGACACTGAACTGCTGAATCAGGTAGTAATTTACATTTAGCTTTTTGAGAAGCCATCCAAATGTTTTCCACAGTGATTGTATCACTTTGTGTGTCTACCACCAGTACAGTACAAGAGTTCTCCATTTTCCATATCCTCATCATACTTTTTTACCACTTTCAGAATGATCATGGAAGTACTGTGAAATTGCTTTAGGGACTATAAATAAATGCTGCTGAGCAAGTGAATTTGTAAATACAGAATCTGTGTAGTGAGGATTGAATATATCTAGATGTAAATTATATGTGTGTGTATGTATGTACTGAAAGCAATATAATACAAATACATATGGCATGCATCTAGGTTTTTACATTTTTTAGGTGCTTTTAGCAAGCGAGTATGGCTATTATAGTTAAAAAAACATTAGGTTATTAGTTTTTAAAATAAGGTGAACTTTTAGAAATACATGTACATATTAGTTAGATTTTTTTAGTAGTATTGTGTGTGCTTTAACCAAAGTTTAGCTTAAATTCTGTTTCTTCTTCTTTCAAATTTCTAGTGTCATTTTTGATAAGTTTTTTAAAATAATAAATTTAAACAATGTGCATCTTCAGTTTATTGTACCAGTATGTCCTAGTAGCTAGCTACTCAGGTAGCAGCATTCTTTTTTTTTTTTTTTTTAAGATTTTATTTATTTTTAGAGCAAGAGAGAGAGAAGGAGGGAAACATCAATGCGTGGTTGCCTCTTGCATTCCCCCTACTACTGGGAACCTGGCCCGCAACCCAGGCATGTGCCCCTGATTGGGAACTGAACTCATGAACCTTTCGTTCACCAGCCAGCACTCAATCCACTGAGACCCCCAGCCAGAGCAGGTAGCAGCCTTCTTAATGACAAAGCTTTTTTTTTTTTTTAAATTTTTTAAATTTATTTATTTAGAAGGGAAGGAGAGAAATATTAATGTATGGTTGCTTCTGGTGCATCCCCTGCTGGAACTGGCCCCTGCTGGGAACTGGCCTGCAACCCAGGCATGTGCCCTGACAGGGTAATCGAACCGCAATCTTGGTTCATAGGCCCGTGCTCAATCCACTGAGCTGCACCAGCCAGGGCTTAATGACAAAGCTTTTTAAGGCTGATGTGGAGAAAAGAAACATTTTAAAAAATTATTTCATTTTCAAAAAATTACTTTTTCTTTCTTGGGGTTTTCTTCAGAGTTTTAATCAATATCTTCAGCATGAAATTTACTTTTATGTCAGGGGAATAAATTCAAAGGGCTGCACATCTCAGGCACTTAACATAAGTAAAGACTGTTGGGACAAAAAACTAAACTGTTAATCTCTATATGAAAGAAGAAAGGGATTCTCAGCCTGGCCAATTATTTCCATGTGCTGGGTGCCACATCTTCCAGGTTTCCAAAGGGTCTGTAATCTGGATTTTTATGTAAAAGTATCCAAAAGTTTAAGTATGTTAGCAGGTAATTTAATAATTTATAAATACTATGTGGATTATTTCACTTCAGGTTCAACGGAAAGTGTGTGAAGGTCATCAGAAGATGATGTGTGCTTTAACTGTTTAGAATGTTAAGATTAAAAACACTATTAAACCCATAAACTAGTGGAATGGTTTGGCAACTTTTGGTGTATCCATACAGTAGAACATTATATGACCCTGAATATTCAGTAAGAACCTAGTTTGGATAGAAATAACACCAAAATGTTAACTTTAAATACATGTAAGTGTTCCCCAATGTTTAGGTAGTTTATAGTCAGAACAAGTTTCTGAAAATTGATTATGTAGAAAGCATCTTGCATTCTATTCTACTTATGGTTAATGTAGTGAGAGTCTATTATGTTAACATGTTATATGATTTGTTTGCAACTTTGTTTCCAATGCAGTTATTTTCTTTTCCTTTTTAGAGATGCTAACTTTGTTTTTCTCTGACTTTGTTTTTATCCTTCTGTCTGATGATTTCCAAAAGAACAACGAAACCAACTCCTCATTTAGATGGGTAAAGATTATTTTAATTTTATAATCTACTTTAAATTAATATTAAAATAGGAAGCTTTTATTTAAAATCACTTTTACTTGACTCCTTAGGCATCATGTTGTTTTTGGGCAAGTGATTTCTGGTCAAGAAGTTGTGAGGGAGATAGAAAACCAGAAAACAGATGCAGCTAGCAAACCATTTGCTGAGGTGCGGATACTCAGTTGTGGAGAGCTGATTCCCAAGTCGAAAGGTAAGAGCAAGTACATATTTCGGATAATTCTTATGGGTACACAACAAGTAGACACTCTAAATAGTTGGCATAAGGGTCACACTAAACTGAATATAAATATGAGGTTTTTGTGTTTTGAACACGTTTTTATTTTTTAGATGTTTTATCTTTATACTTTCATTTACTTATTAAAATTTACTTTTAATAAGTAAATTTTTCTTATTACTAATTTACAGTAATTTGTTCTGCTTCTACCTTTAAAAAAAAAAGAAAGTCAGTTGTCTAAATAGAATGGAAATAGATTCTTTTCTAAGGAAAGAGACAGTGTAAAGAAGATGACAATGGAAGAGAATAACAGACTAGGAAACTTTAGGGGAATAAATTATTTCCCCTTCATACATTGTATCTGGCATGTTTATGTAACTCATAGTTCTTACAGATAATTGGGTCTGACACTAAAATAATGGGATTACTTTTAAAATTGTGTAGAAAGCAATAAAATATTGAATTGGCTCTTGCATTCTTACTGGTCTAGGGACCACTAAGATCAGTACTTAGTTTTTCATGACTAACAAAGGTGAGAGTCATCTGCAATATTTTGTGATCCTCAGAGTAGCCCTTTAATATTATTTCCCCTATTTTATAGATGAAGATATATTTACCACATCAGGGAACTAGGTCTTAAACCCCAGTATGCTGATTCCATCCAGATCTAGATTTCTTACTGTTATGTTGCTAAGTCATTGTTCGTTAACATTTCTTTCACAATTGTCCTGAGTAGAACATTCTGTTCTGAAGTTTTGAGTATACTGATTTCCTCTGTAACATTTAGAAATACACACATTTTGTTTTGTTTTAATTTTAAAAGACCCAAGGTGGTCATAGAGAAGTCTTATTTTTTACTTTTTGTCTCTGCATTTGATTTTGATTCTGATGATTTCCCTTTTTTCTCTGTCATATCAAATATGTACCTCATAAACCACTGCAGGAATATGCTGCAGCTAATAATGGGACTGTGTATATAACTTCTTGGTGTTCATGACTCTGGCTATTCCTTATTTACAAACAACAGGTATAATATATGTCTTGTGTTTCCAACAATTCCATAAAGAATGAGGCTTTGCTGAGTATCTTAAATTTGTTTTAAAATTTTTTTTTCTTTTTTTTTTTACATTTCTATTTATTTTTCAGTTACAGTTAACATTATATGAGTTTTAGGAATATAACAAGGTGATAAGACATTCATGTATCTTAATGACTGTTTTAAAAAGGGAAAAGTAAGAAGCCATCTGTATTAATGTGTGCAGATTTTAAAACTTGAACTTACTGATATTTAACTCTTAGAGTGTTGTCTGTACGATTGGAATATTTTGTTTTAAAATAATATTTTTTCCCATATCATCTAGGAAATCTTCATCTTTTTCTCTACTAACAGCTAGTGGGTTTTTTTTTCCTTCTTCTTACATTTTGTAGTCTTTACAGTAACTGTGCTAGGATCCATTCTCTGCTTATAAAAGTTAAGAATGCTGTCCTCGCCTGGTGGTTCAGTTGGTTGGAGTGTTGTTCCATATATCAAAACGTTGGGGGGTTTAGTTTCTAGTCCAGGCATCTCCAGGAGGCAGCTGATTTGATGTTACTCTCTCACACCTGTGTCTCTGTCTCTCTCTCTCCCCGCCCTTTTTCTTCTCCCCCCCAACCTTCCTCTCTCCCTCTCTCTTCCCCTAAAACCAATAAAGAAATCCTCAGGTGAGGACTGAAAACAAATTAAAAAGTTAAGAATACTATGTGGTTTATTTAGAATAAATATTGAAGTACTAAAAAAAGCTTATATTTTAAACCATAAATAGTTATCATAGACTCTCATAATGTTAGTGTGAATCTTTGGGTATTAAAAGGTCAGTGTTTTAATATTTGTTGAAAGGATGAGAATGCCACTCTTTATTATTTGTGCCCTTATTTTGACCTGAAGAGATAGATGCTAATTTTGCCCATGGCATTCTGGTCAGGAAGTTGTACTGAAAGTTGGTGTAGTGTCTTAGTTCGTGTTCCTCAAATTCATGTTAAAGAAACATACCTTGCCCTTAATCAGTTTTAGCAGTTAAGGAAGATTTGCCCTTTATTAGTGTCTGCCCAGTAGTTCCTGAAGAAGTCAGATTTGTTTCTAGCCATATCTCCCATGCCTGTGCTATTCATGATAGCACTGTGGAAAAGAGGAAGAGATCTTTATGTTTGAGATCACACAGTTTGGCAACTGTTGTTATTTCATAGTCCTTCAGTTGGTCAGAATGGATTTTGTCATGCACCTATGTAATCTTTTTTTGTACTTTAAATTGGGAATAGTCAGCTTACATTTAAAACCTTGTTTGAGAGATTAACATCCCAATTTAAAAAGAAATAAATGCAGAATCTTTTTTTTTTTCCTTTTTCTAACTTCCTGAAAGAAAACAAAAAGACTTCTGAAGAAATCTGACTGTCTGGGCCCACCTGTAAATAGTCTTGGTGAGTCTTGGCAATCTTCTTGGGCCTTTCCCCCTTTTGCTGATGCAAGATTGGCAGTTCTGTTTTTTGTGGCTTTTTGAATGTGCTTGAGAAGGTTCAGAGTCAAAGAGAAGAACCTTCCAATAGATGCTGAGGTAGAACACTGGAGACTAATAAAAGCTGCATCTCTGAGACTTTCAAGGGACGTAGTAGAGGGTAGAACACAGAGCTCCAGAGAATGGTACCACTACCTAGAATAAGGCATTCCTTGTGTTTTCAAGAGTTGGCATGAAAGCAAGTCATGCTATTCTCTTCAGAGTTCAGTTGTTAAGAGAGGCCTGTCTACTGTGGCCATGGAACAAGAGACGAAGCCATTGCTATATTACAGAGTACAACAGAAGCACTAGTTCTGAATCGTGGCAACACATCAATAAATAAAGTTATATGAGCAGAAATTTTGCACATATGTGGTGGGAAACAGCTTGCTTGGCAGTTCAGAAAGAACAATACAGTAGAGGAAGCAGCTGGTAAATCTTGTACTTGGGACACAGTGGAGAACACCAGAGTTGTTTCTATGGTGTCAGACTCCCATTTATTCAGAAATTGAGGGTTGTAGTCATGGCACTCTTACTGGAAAGTACTAGGAAATTGTTGAAAAGAGGAGACCAGTGCTGTGGAACAAAAATACCTAAAGGAGACCTACTTTAGGGATACTTCTTCTCTTTATTTCAAAATTTATTTTCATAATTTCCCAGAAGTTTTCTTATTATAAAGGTTTCATGCAAAATTCATTGGTATATACCCTGGCCTGTGTGTCTCGGTTGGTTGGGCATCATCCCCCAAACCACAGAGTCTCAGGTTAGTTTCCTAGTAAGGGCATATGCTTGCTTAGGTTGCAGGTTCAGTCCCCAGTCAGGACACCAATGAAAGGCAACCAACTGATGTTTCTCTCCGTCTCTTTCTCCCTCCCTTCCCCTCTGAAATCAGTGAGCATGCCCTTGTCTAAGGAGAAAAAAAGAAAAACAAATACATTGGTATAGAATCTATAGATCTCAAAAATGTAAGGCAGCATTTTCTTTCTTTTTTTTTTTAATTTATTTTGAATTTATTGGGGTTACATTGGTTAATAAAATTATATAGGTTTCAGACAACATTTTCTTACCTTAGATTTTTACAAGTAAAATGTTGTTGAGTTTGCTGTCAGTAAAGTCAATTCCTAATTAGCAAGATTGAACCACATCCTACCCTAGCTCCTTGCCAAAGGTAAGTGAACAGGTTTGGGAAATTATTTTACATAGTGATAAGCAAACTACAAAATTCTAAACTAACCAAAAATAGCCCAAGAATTGAAAGTGTTACCATTTATAGTTCCTCTTCATCCATTTAAATTAACTTTAATTGAGGTTTTGCTTTTAGTACTGTTTCATTTTGCCTTAAGGATACTTATGCTTGTAAGATACTTTGAAATAGATTTTGTATAAATGGTTAGGCAGAGAGGTAGGGTTTTTGGAGGAAGGGGTGGAAATAGTTGTCATACTTTGAAGTTTAAAGATTTGTATTTTTAAATTTATTTTTTTTAATATATTTTATTATGCCATTACAGTTGTTCTATTCCCCCCTTCATTCCCCTCCTCCCTGCACACCCCCTTCCCCACCATTCCCCCCTTTAGTTTATGACCACGTGTCTCAAGTTCTTTAGATTCTATATTTCCCATACTATTCTTGCTCTCCCCCTTATCTATTTTCTACGTATCATCTATGCTATTTATTTTCTGTACCTTCTCCCCCTTCTCCTTCTCCCACTCCCCTGTTGTTAACCCTCCATGTGATCTTCATTTCTATGGTTCTGCTCCTAATCTAGCTGTCCTCTTAGTTTGCTTTTGTTTTAGATGTGCTTGTTAATAACTGTGAGTTTGCTGTCCTTTCACTGTTCATCTTTTTTATCTTCTTTTTCTTAGATCAGTCCCTTTAACATTTCATATAATAAGGGCTTGGTGATGATGAACTCCTTGAACTTGACCTTATCTGAGAAGCACTTTACCTGCCCTTCCATTCTAAATGAAAGCTTTGCTGGATAGATCAATCTTGGATATAGGTCCTTGCCTTCCATGACTTGGAATACTTCTTTCCAGCCCCTTCTTGCCTGTAAGGTCTCTTTTGAGAAATCAGCTGACAGTCTGATGGGAAGTACTTTGTAGGTGACTGTCCCCTTAGCTCTTGCTGCTTCTAGGATTCTCTCCTTCATTTTAATCTTGGCTAATATTATGATGATGTGCCTTGGTGGGTTCCTTCTTGGGTCCAACTTCTTGAGGACTCTCTGATCTTCCTGGATTTCCTGGAAGTCTGTTTCCTTTGCCAGATTGGGAAAGTTCTCCTTTATTATTTGTTCAACTAAGGTTTCCACTCGTGGCTGTTCGTCTTCCCCTTCTGGTACCCCTATAATTCTGATGTTGGAACATTTAAAGATGTCCTGGAGGTTCCTAAGCCTCTTCTCCTTTTTTTGGAATCTCATTTCTTCATCCTTTTGTTTGGTCATTTTTTCC